TGCACAATGATTTCTCAGGTGCATCAGAACTAACTACTCAGCTATGATATTAGAATAGACGCAAACTAGCTGAGTATAGAGAGCTAGACAAACATTGGGACTCAATTTGTTCCAATTTTACAAGAATGGTTGTTCGATGGATCTTTTGTTTGACCCCATGCACTATGTCCGATGAGTCAGTCAGACCTTATCATAACTACAATATTAAGAGAAAGAAAGTTGAAATGTTCTGTCAATTTGGTATTATGCAGTCGTTGAATATCCATGTTATTAGACTTGAACTGCACATTGCAGCATACCCACAATTCGAGTAAAATTGATCACAGGTGTTGAACAAGTGCGTCATAAATGTGTCATTAGTGTGTCTCGAATAAGTCACGAGTGCGTTGCAATTGCGTCATGAGTGCATCATGAGTGCGTCATAAGTGCGTCATGAGTGGGTCAAGAATAAGTCACGAGTGCGTCATGAGTGCGTCAAGAGATTACAAATGCGTCATGAGTGCGTCAAGAAAAAGTCGCGAATATGTCACGAGTGCGTCATGAGTGTGTCACGAATGCATCACGAATAAGTCATCAGAGCATCATAAATGCATCGTGAGTGCGTCATAGATGCGTCGTGAGTGCGTCACAGGTGCGTCGTGAGTGCGTCACCAGTCAAACTCCTAAAAATTCTGCAAAAATTAAAATTTTAAATTCGACTATAACTTACGAGTTTCATTACATAACGCCACTGACATTAATTTTGTAATTGTACTTGTAATCTCGTGTCGTACAATCAAGCAGTGTTATATTACCGTAAAAGCAATATTACGTAATTGCAACGCGTTGTAACAGCGATGCGCTGCAACGCACGCTTTGTAACTGTACGCAATTACCGCATTGTAATAACGCGTAGTGCTGCCCGGGCTTTTACTTGTCTCGTGTTTTATCGCAAAGCACCGTAATTGCAACGCACTGCAATCGCAATACGCTGAAATTGCAACTTGCCGCAATTATAACTCGCTGCGATTGCTACGCGCTGCATGCGCAATTGTAAACGCTGCAGTTGTCTCGTGTTTTATTGCACCGTAATTATAATTGCGATGTTTTATTTCCCCTGCATCTGTACACATTGCGATTACGTTATATCCATTGCTATAACTCATACTCGTTGTATTTGTCACATCACTCATTTTACATATTTTTAAAAATAATCGCCACTATTTGTCATATTAGTCATTGTACATATTTTTAAAAATAATTGTCGTTATAATAATTGTCACACGTTTCGATGAAAATAACTTCGAGGTTTAGTTTTGAACTTTTGGATCTAATTTTGATAGGAGCTAGCGTATGTTTAATTACGTTGACCGAAGAAGATTCAAGACACGTCATAAATTTCTTCGGCCTTATCGTGTTGTTACATCTTCTAAACCACTTAAGAAGTTGAGCTAAATTCCGCTTTATCCTATTCCAGAATTCGTGTCCGCTCGTTTAGCTCGTTTTCTCATTCCGAGTTCGCGAGCTTCCCAACTTTCCTTTTTAAGTTGATGCGTCAGATCGGACGACGGTTTGCTCGCGGGACCCCGGTAAAACTATAAATCTTTGCATATAAAACGTGCCGGCCGTAAAATGAACAAAGCCAACGCGAAATAATAAAGAAAGAAAAAAGAAACTTCTCGGAAGATTATTCAAATAGCGGTAGAATTTAATGCTCTAGAAGCACCTGGGTAACCGGCGGAGTTCTGAACGTTATTTCCGATATCGTCGAATATTCTCCGATATCATGCACGCGCGTGTTACGCCGCCGAATGAAAAATAGCCAAGTATCGATAGGTTTAATCACCCTTCTCGATTGTTTTACAACCGTCCGATAAATTTCGTCGACGGACTTTCGGGAAATCGAAATTATTTAAAAGGCGCCGGGAATTTATCGCTCCGCGGAATTTGTTTAGAAAATTTATATTATACGACTCTTGCATTTCAAATATAAATCGGCAAACGTTCATGCAAATATCTTTCATTTCTGTCTTCAAATTGTCATGACTGTTGAATTAATTTTATTTTGTATACTTATAATTTCTTAATAGGATATATTCATCGCCATTTTCTTATTTGATGTTATAAAATTTTTAGTTTATAAATTGCAAGGAAATATAGTAATCGAAACAGCAATTTCGCGTGTCATTTATCTTGCAAGCAGGTTTATCATACTCGTAACTTCGGAACAAATGATTCATCCTTTCCAATTAACATCGACGTTCCGAAATCTCGTTAGATCTTCATGTTCGCGGTAATAAAGTTCCGTGGGTCATCCATCAAACCGAGCTCCGGATAAATCATTCTTCGGTGCGTTTGACGGACGAAATTCGAGTTTTCAAACGGATGGGACAAGTAAAACTTATCGCTTCATTCCTTAAATGTGCAATCAAAGCGAAAATTTCGACCAAGAGGACTTCAATTACCCAGGTATTTACGACAGTAATCGTTGAAGATTTTCGACGGTCGATTGAGTGAACTCGCGTCGAATGCTAATGACCGTCAACCCGCCGCATGTACGATTCGATGATGGATGTACACGTATCAATTTGTATTCAGTATAAATAAGTCGCCCATGTGGGCGTTGTGTCCTAAATGCGTCCATATGAATTGTTCGAGTTCAACGTTGCAGTGTAACGTGCAAATCAGTCGTGTGATAACCGGGCTCTGGATAATAACATTGTTCACGGTACAGCTGTATAATTTACCCTTATCAGACTTGGTTCACGAACAATATCGTTCGGAAACAATGCTTCATATCGCGTCTCAGAATGAACGATTCCATTTTATTTACGGCGGTTGTCGGCAGCCTTTTTTTTATCGGGACTGGGTATCTGGGGATAGACGGAAATATAGGGTGCAGGAATAGGGATTGAGACATGGAGGAACGTATTCAGGGATAATTTAGGTGCGATATCTAGAGATGCAGATATTTAACTTGCTGTACCATTTATTTATCAGATGCGTCAGTCAAAAGTAATTATTCAGGACTATAATATTAAAACAAAGAAAATTAAAATATTTTATACTCAGGGATCCTTGATTATGTAAAATATAGTTGAACCTAAATATCAAGTTCAGGAGCAGTCAAAATTTGAGTGAGGTTTGTTATATTTGAGCAGTGAGTGAATCATGAGTGAGACTCGTCAAAGTACAGGAAGGGGTTAAGGATATGAGTGTCTAGGGTATGTATCTAGGAATGTAGCTAGACAGCAATGTCGCTATTTGGAGACGTAGATATCTAGGGACGTATGTATGTATGGACTGTAGCTGTTCAGCAATGTAGCTATGTGTGGATGTAGATATATAGGGACGTATGTATCTAGGAATATAGCTATCCAGCAATGTAGCTATCCGTGGATGTGGATATATAGGGACGTATGTATCTAGGAATGTAGCTATCTAAGGATGTAGCTATCTAGAGACGTAGGTATCTAGGAACATAGCTATCTAAGAATATAGCTATCTAAAGACATAGGTATATTGGGAGCTATCTAGATACGTAGATATCTAGGGATGTAGGTATCTAGGAACGTAGCTATCTAAGAACGTAGCTGTCTAGAGACGTAGGTATCTAGCAACGTAACTAACTAAGAACGTAGCTAGCTAGAGACGTAGGTATCTAGAGACCTAGGTATCCACAAACGTAGGTATCTAGAGACGTAGGTATCTAGCAACATAGCTATCTCAGGAAGAAGGTATCTAGTGACGTAGATATCTAGGGACGTAGGTATCTGAAGACGTATGTATCTAGGGATGTAGCTATCTAAGAACATAGCTTCTAGTGACGTAGATAACTAGGGACGTAGGTATCTAAGAACATAGATATCCACATACATAGATATCTAAACAAGTAGATACTTCGATCCTTAGGTATCTAAAAACGCAAATACCTAAGTACCTAGATATCCAGAGACCTGGGACCTAAGTACCTATATTTTGCAACATAATTACCTACATGCCTGAAAATACATTTGAGAATATGAATATCCATAAACGTAGCTATTTATTTCATCTCATAAAAAATATTAAATCATCTTCACGTAACTCGATAAAAAGCATAATTACACAATTTTTCGACAGAATAGTGATTCGTCAAATAAATATCGACCACCTGTCGCATTCGGTAGGCCTAATCAGTACTCAGAAGTTAGTCATGTCCACCTGTCGGATTTCCTCGCGAAACGTCCGGCACATTGCTAATTAATTGTCCGCAGTTTCGATCAGTCAGGCGTAATTAAATTAGGGTGTCACGCGTCACCTCCGAAATTCAGCGCTAATGCGTTTAACAATTCCGTCCCCTCTAGAATCTCTTCGTGCACATAAATTATTTAAATTACTTGAAAGAAATCTTTCAAGTATTATTTATATTTTACTCGCCTTAGGAGTTAAATATTCTCGCAGGTTTTTACACTATCATAAGTTAGTTTCAAATCAGATACAGTATTTAAAAATGCGCCGAGAACCGAGGAAATAGTATGTCATTGAGGTCATGTTCTCTCGCAGTGCCTTTCACTGGAAATCTGTTCGTGTCCTCGATATTCTCTCTCTCGTTTCTCGTCCCGTTTCTACCATCGGGTTTAAAACCATAGCGCAATTTATGTTTCCCCTTCCACGTTTATGCGGCGTATTTTTTACGCGCAAATCAATACTTTGACAGTTTACAACATTTTTAAATTCAGTCGCATTGTTCCCAAACTGAACGAAAACCCGAGTATATAAACAATATTCCATAGATGAGTTATGAATTATAATAAAAATTTAACTGTACGACGCCATATTGGAACAGTTAACGCATTGAAATCGAATGCATTATGAAAAGGGAAGTCAATAACTTCATTCTTCATTGAATATCAAAATAAACGGAGAATTACTCACGCTGAAAGTCATTGACCTGATCCTTGAATCGTTGGAATAGGATTAATATTAAGACGAGTCACAGCTGGGCTCAGTGTGCATTCAACCGCGATTGTTAGCGAGCACGTGTGTTCGTCTACCGCGCATCCGTTCTGCGCAGTTGATCAAGAGCCACGGTCAGTGATACATTGTGTCGATCGCGTCGTCAATTTTTTCGATCGTTCTCGTTAACATAACTCGTAATATTCATCGACACGCGATACATCGTAACGATAAATATTTACAGTTCGTTGTTCGTGCGATAAGTGTGATTTTTATTAATAAAATCGCGATAGTGCGGCAAAATAAAGTGACAAAACGCGCGTCGAAGTGTCAAACGTTCGAACTACCACGCTAGTCAAAACAGTATCGGTAAGTGTTTGAAATATTAGTTTATTAATTGCTAAATTATACAGACAACGTTACAGAGGTAATTTTAGTGACTAGATATATTGTTTCGAGTTGACTGCTGTTTTGTTATTTTTTTCGTTGAAGTTTTAGAACGGTTTTTATGTTCGTACTTGATGTGCGTCGTTCGTTTGAAAAGGGACAGAGTGCAATGGCCGCCCGATGACGCGGTTTTGTTGAATATGTCAGAAAATTATTTTTTCGAGCTTCCTTTATGAATAGTGTTATAGTATGAGTATACGATGATTTCACTTTTAAAGGTTTTTACCGAATGTCTTATATTAAATTTTTGCGTGATAATATTTTATTTTAATATTTCTTCTGAAATGAAATATTTAGAATTATATTATCGTAGATGAAGGAGGAAATATCTTTGAATTCTTACCGTTATCTTGCAAGGTTAAGCTGTATCATACGATAAGGTGAGAAACTGATATAACTCTGAGGAGGAAAGATAATCGTTCTGTTTAAAGATATAGTGACTCATATGTCAAATTCGTACACACCTACGATGTTGGCGAATATTCTACGTTTCAAAATTTTCCTCCTCAACGTCGTTCAACTAAATTTATTTAATTTGATATTTTATATTATACTAAATTAAATTACGGTACAGGAATATAATAGTTTTGGAGAAGTCTGAAATTTTTGTTCCAGATATTTCTATTCATAAATTAGATAATAATATGCATCGGTTCGTACAATACGTATGTAAAAAACGAAACCATTTGTCTATTTGTATAAATGTTCGTTAAAATGTTACCACGCAGAAGTTCCATTCATAACACGAAGCTTTGAAATTGTATTCAAGGATATTCTTTGCGTGTCGAGAGCCGGGTTTTGTTTTGTTATTTTCTATGGAATTACGAAGTAGCGAAGGCCCGCGGCACAAAAACGGAGAATCAAAGTTCGCTGTATCGCTGCGCCGTCTACCGCAGACAATTCGCAAAACCGCAGAATCACATTCTTCTCGTTATATTACATTACCCAAAATTGAACAAATGAAACCGTTCTAGAAATAGAGGCAGTCAACGTTGTATCTAGCCACGTTGTTTCTGGTTCATTCATAGAATATGTGCAATTGTGCCGCTTTCCTCGAACAGAACAAAAATGAAATTGTATCCTAAAACGTGTAATTTGTTAGGGACGTAAAGTGAAACGAAAGCGGCGCTGTGTCGAGTGTTCCACGGAACAAGTTCTCAACGACCTTTGACGATGTCGATGTTGCGATTCTAGCTGTTTCTCTCTTGCTGGATAATGTGAGTAACAGAAACGATATTACCATACTTATCCTTATTGCGTCAGCTTCACGATGTGTAATTACTTTAAACGATCGTATTTTCCTTTTGGATCAACCTGAAACGTGAGTTGCAACTTTAACATCACCTTTTTTACTGTTTTACTTTTGCGTCAGCTCTTCGGTTACTGATTTAAGATATAATTACCTGTAATTAACTATAAATATACATAGAATAGGATGCACGTGATGAGTCGCGAATTTCTTCATATACTTTGCACATGACGCATATGGTGCGTCTTAGGTTCTCTAGCATATGACGCATATGGTGCGTTCTAGATTTTCTAGCATATGACGCATACGGCGAATCCTAGATTTTCTAGTACACGACGCACATGGTGCGTCTTAGGTTCTCTAGCATATGACGCACGTGGTGCGTCTTACGTTGGCTAGTAAGTGACAGTGAATTATTGATTTTCTCAATACCGTTCTCTCTCTACCATACTTCTCATCTGTTGAGTCCCATATGACACATCCGGTGCGTTCTAATTTCGCCAGTATACATAGTATACGACGCACATGGTGCGTCCGAGGTTCATTAGCATATGTACGACGTAAACGGTGAGTTATCGTGTCTTATAGCGTGCAACATAGTCCCAGAGAATATCCGTACATTCCCTTCTGTACATATAGAATAGTTGGTGCATACGCACCTGGTGCGTCATTGATTCATACGGCATCTAGCGTGTAGAAACAGTAGATAGCATACCGTAGAATCGTACGGCTTCGTAGATTCATATGTGTACGACACATACGGTGCGTCATGTAAATACGTAGGACGCATACGGTGTGTCAACGACTGTTTCATAGAACAGAAATGCATACGGTATGTCGGACATTTCCTCATATAAACAGTATGCACAACACGCCATGCATGGTCGATTATCTAGGATATATAGTCTCGGACGCATATGGTGCGTCATCAGTCTCGGATGCCTTAGTGATTAGCATCGTGTGTACCATCGCCTAACACATCTGATGGTAATGTGTACATCGTCGTCGACGGTGATACATGGAGATGTTGATCTCATTTCCGGTTGCGGGTACACTTGAGCGAGTATGTTGTCGTGATACACGTGCGTTTGATTTACTCCTCTCTCCTTTCTGTTGCGGTTGCACGTTGGGTCATATGCGTCACTTTGTGGGATTGTTTCGGGTATAAATTTGTATGCTCCGTATGATAAAAATAAGTCGTAAATCTTCATTCGAAAGTGTTGCAATATTTGTGGTATCTTAATTAATCTACGGTAGGAAAATTACGAAACAGACTCTGGAGAGTCCAAAAATTAACCGACAAATTGTGGACCGGGTCTCCAGCAAGCAATTTGCGAGTATCAAATGAAGATTGCGGGAATTAAAGAGCTCGGGCCATTTTGGTCCAATTGAGCCACCTATATAGGACGACTAATTTCAATTATTTTACACAAACGCCTCTGAAGCTTACCAAATATTTTAGTTTTCCTACTTTAGAAGTTTCTGTATTTTTACATTGTTAATATACTTGTTACACCTTCGTTAATATACTTGGTGTACTTTCTATACTAGATAACGCACCAGAATAGAATATAGGACGCACAATGTGCGTCATGTAGTGTTGAACATAGGACGCACCACGTGCGTCATGTAGTATAGAATCTAAAATGCACGTCATGTACTCTAACTCCCCACATTCCCGAAGGTCCATATTCCTAAATAACTATATCTCTAAATATCCATATCCCAAAGTTCCATATTCATAGTTATATCTCTGACTCTCCACATCCTCCAAGTTCCACGTTCCTAAATTTCTATATCCCTCCACATGCATATCCCAAAACTTCCAAGTCCCCAACTTGCTCTATTCGAGACAACTATACCACAGTTCGATGACTATATTTCGACACGATAGTTAAAGTTGTTGTTTATCTCTAAAACGGCACACCCTGAACGTTTTCCAATCCCCAGAATATTGTTCGAACGGTGGAATCCGCTCATCAATATACAGAATTTTAATTCAGAATTCCATCCGCAACGTCTAACGACTGCAGACTGTCGTATAAATAAAGCAAGGAATCGGCAACGAGAAAGTTTTGAATTCTACTTCACGGCTTGCGGGAAGATATCGGCATATAAGGTCACCGGAGAGAACAACCGCGAAGACATTATACAGTCGACGCCGAACTTGCCAAGTGTTTGCGGATGGTTCGAAGATATTTCCGGTCGCTTTATTCAAATCACCAGAATAAATAATGAAGAAGCAACCGCGGCAATACGGCGGCATCGATCGTTTTCGAAAACTTGCCTCGTTAAGGAATCGTGGCAAACATCGAACCGAATTACGATACTCTTATCGACGGAAACAAACGAAACTGGTGCTCTGTTGGCAAGTGCTCGTTCGAAGATTGTCATTTGGATTTAAAATTTTTGCATGCAGATAATAGAAATTTTATACCATATTCTCATCCCTAAATTTCCAAGTTACTACGTCACAAATTTCCCAAATCCCCAGAGTCCCCACTTTCCAAATTTCAACTTCAAAAAATTGCAAAATTCCACATCTCACATCTCAAGTTCTAAAGTCCCAAAATTCTCAAACCTTTTATTTGCAAATTTGTAAATCCCCAAGCAGATATCACATCGTGTTAACAGAAAGGTTCAGTGTCTCCTACGTCTCGGTTATACAACAGAAATAATAATTGAGTTGTCTCAAAGTTTAAAACAAACTGCGTATGTGCATTATCCGTAATGCGCGTTAAAAATGCAAGGATTGCTAGGCGCTATTCGTGACAGTAGCAGTAATAAGTTAGCGGAAGTTAATAACAGCAACTTTTAAAGGAGACACCTGGAACTATACCTCTAATTCCCAAGCCAGTCGTTCACACGAACCTCGCTTTTCCGCGTTCGACTTTTCCCTCTATGTTTCATTTCGAAATCGTTACTACGCAGTTGAAATAACTTATTCGAAACTTTGTCACTGGAGAATATTCTTGCTACCGAGTATTATGAATCAAACGAATTGACAAATTAAAAAATCTGCTTGAAATATTTTCACATCTTTGAAATATCAAGCTTCATAAATTTGTATGTTTAGAAGGATCTAAAAGAAATTCAAGAATGCAGCAATTTGTAAATTTAGAAATCTAGTTCTATGTTCTATATACCAAATGACGCACATGGTGCGTCGTGTGGTTTATTCCATATGACGCACGTGGTGTGTCCTATGCACTCTACTAAATACTTGAAAATGTATAATTCAAAAAATAATCTCAAAGAGACTATCAGAAATTAAAAGTATAAATCATATCACAAATATGTAGAAAATTTTACCCATTTTACATAAATAAAATTGTAGTGGTAAATTACTAGACATCACTGACATGTCATCAGCTTCACCCCCTAAGTATTAATACGAAAAGAGTGGACAATGATAAAAGTGTAGCTCCCGTACTTAAGCAGCTAAAAACACGTATCCGGCAAAGAGATATTTTCACAAAGAGGGTATCCGTACCCAGCGGATATTGCATGGGTTTCAAGGAAAAGGAACCGCAAAATTATGCGACGCACACGCAGCAGCCGGCTTTTTCATTCTCCGAGAGCGCACAAAGCAGGGTGTTTGAAAAAAGGAAGGGAAGTTTTCGATACACGAGTTACGTATGAAATATTCATGGAACCAAGTCATCCCTCCCCGTTTCGGGGAATCCACGGGTCTCGAAGGGTGGTCGGCCACGTTCAACCGTAGACAATCTTGTTTTCGAGGGGGATGCAAATCGCGAGCCCCTCTCGCGGTGCTCGAAATCGAATTTCGGCTAAATTCTTGAAAGCTCGCGCCGTTTTGTAAATAAGTCATGGGAATAAATCGGTGGTTTGTTGTTCGGTGTATATGCACAGTTTGCGCAGCGTGTTGTAACCGGCGCGAGTGTAATCGAACAGCTCAATTTCTGTCGGATAAACGCGGCAAACGGTTCGTTTTCTGGGATACATGGCCGGCTAGATCGATGAAAAATAGCAGTTTCAGCGTGTCGCTGTTCGGGAAACAGACAAAGGATGTCCCGTGCAGATAGGGACTGTTGTTACAAAACTGGCGGAGATCGCACTTTCAATGGTATACTGGGCTCGACGTTTTTAATTATTTTCCAACAAGCTTCCAGTGGAATTAAAATATTGAAAGATTCTTTGAATAGGGAGTTTATGAACCAGGAATCAATATTTCGAACGATATTTTAATATTTATGAGGTTTTTTAGTACATGACGCATATGGTGCGTTCTATGGTTCCTAGTATGTGACGCACATGGTGCGTTCTAGGATCTCTAGTATATGACGCATATGGTGCGTTCTAGGTTCTACTGTGCTTGACACACATGGTGCGTCCTATGTTCCACTCTACGTGACGCACATGGTGCGTTCTACGTTTTATACTTCATGACGCACATGGTGCGTTCCGAGTTCTATACCATATGACGCACGTGGTGCGTCCTATAATCCATGCTACGTGACGCACATGATGCGTTCTAGGTTCTATACCATATGACGCATATGGTGCGTTCTATGTTCCATGCTACATGACGCATATGGTGCGTCTTAGTGTCTCTAGTATATGACGCATAAGGTGCGTCCTGCTTTTTCTAATATATGGCACATATTTCAGTAACAGTAATTTGTAATTTAGAAACAATTCTTGTTCAAAAAATCTCCAAAACAATATTTCATAAATTACAAACATCCTCATCTGAAAGATCTAACTTCAAAATAACATTTCAAAGTGTTTTCATTTGAAATAAAATTTCGTCTACTATCAACAAATACTCGAATCATTCAGTATTTTAATTGATCTAACATGTTTTTGTCCAAATCCGAATTTCAGTGGAATAATTTGTTCACCCAAAAGATTTGAAATAACGTCCGCACTGATCTGTCGTTTTCGGATTAAACAAATTCACTACAAATTTCAGATATTTTGGGCTCTCGATATGCATTAAATTAA